ATGCTATATATAGAGATACTTATGATAAATAAATTATAAAAAATAATAATAATAAATAAAAATAAAAATAAAATAAAATATTGCATAATATAAATAAACAAAATAATTTTTTTTTGCAATAAATTTAAAATTAAAAAAAAAATAAAATAAAATAATAACAATAAAAGTAATAAAAAAATAAAAAATAATAAAAATAAAAAAATAATAAAAAAAATAAATAAATAAATGAATATAAAACAAAATACAATTTATAAACACATAAAAAATAAAATAAAATAAATTAGTTAACTAAGTTTTAAACATTCCATAAGACTAGCCATATTCCACTCAAATGGTAAATTTATTATCTGATAAGCTCGCTTCAGCTTTTCGGTATCTGCCTGAGCGAGCATTGTGCCGTCATGCACAACCCACGGCGCATAGCCACGTGCCTTCTGCCTTCAGTTCGCTCGCTCGCATTGAACATTTCTCATTTGTTTTCGTGGGCTGCCTTTTGTCTTGTTTTCATTTTTTTGTTTTTGTTTTTTTCGCAAGTTCATTTTCTTTTTCATTTCATTCTGCTTCTTCTTTTCTTTTTTGAAAGATTTTTGTTTTTGTTTTTGTGCTCTGTTAAAGGTTTTTTCTTTCTTTGCTTTCGGGTTATGAATTACGCAACTTTATTGTGTCATATGCACAATTCTGCAACTCATTTCTGGAGTTGGCAAAACACATGTTTTAAGTTTTTCATTGGGCTGCTTTATCCTTCGTCCTTCGCCAGGTTTTTGCTGGCACTAAAAAAGGAGGGAGAATCATTTTAAATTTTACACTAAATTGACTCCGTGTATGTGTGTGTGTGTGTGTGCAAATTGTGCACGCACAATTAAACGTGCTTCATTCCCAAAGGGGACAAAAAAAAAATGGAAATGGAAAAAAAGGAAAAACTTAATTTGGCTGTGAAAATAAATGCTTGGCCAACAATTTTCATTGCCTGCCTGAATTTTTGTACATTTGTGGTAAATATTTGTCCAATCTCTGTGTGTGTGCTCTTTATTCTTTTATTTTCATTTTTATCATTTTGTTTATATTTGCTTTTTCCAACTGCAAAGGAAACTTTAAAAATTGTTTGCCATTAGCTCATTTATTTAGGATTTCTCTAAACTTTGTTCTCTCTCTCTCTCTCTCTCTCTCTCTCTGTTTGTGCTTTATAATTTGTTGATTTGCATATTTAATTTGAATTATTGAGGGGTGTCTTTGTTTAGCAAACTTTTTTGTACAAATTAATGTTTGTATATGAGTGTGTGTGTGTGTGTTTGCATTATTTGATTTTCTAAATTTCAGTTGCTAAAAAGTTTGTCCTAAAGATATTTAAGAGTTTCTAGATTTTTATATTGTTAAATTTAAATGCATTATTTTATGCATAAATTTGAGTTTTTTTTTTATTAAAAAAAAAAATTATTTTGCTTATATATAATTTTTTTTAATGGATCTTAAAGCTGTAGCTGCACTCAAGCAAATGATCAATGAGTATTTCTATAGCAATCAGCTTTGTGTCGTGTGACAGAAGCTTGAAGCTATGAAACAATACGCTTTAGAATATTACAGCAGAGCTATGCAGATAATGAAGGATAATAGCGGAATACGGAGTGAGAGAGGCATAGATGCTAGCGAGAGATGGAGAGAGAAAGAGATTTAACGTAAAAGGGAAAGGATACATTAATTTAATTATATACTTTTATAGCTGTATACGTAATTAATAGATAAAGTTATATAGAGCTCATTTTAATGAGTTACTGTGCGAAAAATATAGATAAGCATTGAATTGTATTTAGTAGAATTCTGTGCATTTATTAATCTGGTTTAATTAGTTCTATTGCACAAGCAATAAGCAATTAGTATTGAATCAATTTTAATGATCACATAGATAAATGAATATGTTATTGGTATTATTGAGCTGTCTTATGCATAACCGAACTAGTTACAGTTAGATAACCGATGAGCGACTGCTGAAATTAATAGTGAATTATTGCAAAACTTTTATAAACTACCCAAAGGAATTTTAGCTTAATTAACTTTTAGAAAAGTATGAACCAATTCCAAGAATTCACATAAGTCTATTCCGTAACCAATTTTACACAAATTGTAGCTTAAATTCGAATAAGCTTTAATGTTTGCTGCTGCTGCTGCTGCAAATGTTGTCTGTCATTCGTGCGACGTTTCTATTACCTGTTTTTATATTGAATTTTGGGTTTTGCGCAAAACTTGTCTAGGGCTTGCGCATAAAAGTAGAGCACAATACGCAATATATGAAATGTGAAATTAGGCACGTGTTTGCATTGCACAGCTGAGCATCATGTAATCGACAGACACGCCCCCCTCCCACCCAGCCAGCCAGCCACCAAAACTTTCCATTTCATGCAACAAAAAATGTTCATGTGTGGCAAACAATTTGATGTAAACTTCATGCACAATGAGCAGCTGCCAACAACAACAATGAAGAAGCAGAGGGAGAAGAAGAAGCCCATTGCCATTGGTCAAGCAAGAGATTACACACACGCACACACACACATACCGCCCATCTTGCTGTCTCCCTTGCTCCAAGCATGGGTAATGCGCTTACCAAAGTTTTTGATTGTATTACATAGATATGCAGAAAGGGAGAGAGATAGTGTGAGAGAGGGAGAGGGAGGCAGAGATGGAGAATGCTTGTGTTTATGCATCTTATGCAATTTGTTTAGCATTTTCATATAAATTGCATCGATTACGAGATTACAAACATTTACTCAATATAATCCTTCAGCTGGCAATGGACAATGGGCAAAGGGCAAAGGGCAAGTGGCAACGGGCAACGGGCAGCATCTGGTCATAATGCATTATTGACCAAAAATATTCCAAGTAGATAAACGACGATAGGCGACGTTTATATAACACATAAGTGCGTCCATACACCAGGGCATATTTGCAGTTAAATGTTGTGTTTTTAGCATCGTTTTATCTCAGTTGTATTTTAATTTATGCAAATTTTTGTATTTTTGCTTTGCCTTTATCTTGTGCGCTTCATCGTTTACAAATTGTTTCTTTTGCTTATATACAAATGTGTGAATGTGTGTGTGTGTGTGTGTGTGTGTGCGTGCGTGTATCTGCTATGCTGGCCTGGGAAAATGCGCATAATTGTTGGCTTTAAATGTAAATGAATTTCAATTAAAATTAAGCACACTTGCACGCAAAAGCACTGATCGCAGATATATATAGAGAAAAATATATGCGGCAGACATATGCTAATTGCCTCGAAGACTGTTTTATATACAACATATAAATTGCATGTAAGATACCCTGTAAAGCGTGAGTTAAGAGAGAGTTTCGCGAGTTTCAAGAGATGTTCTTAAGATAGGGTGAACTTATAAGTCTAGAACTTCAGGTTTTCTAAATTAACTCGATGGGTTTTTATTAATTATGCATGTTTCTTGACATATTGATTGATTGCCAGAAGCAATAGCTGTTGCCTAAACAAAGCTAGTTTCCAGATCTCGCATATTACATACACATGTGCTATAGGGTATCTAACTGGTTAAGCCCTAGTTAAGAAGACATTTTCTATTTTTGTTTTGAATTTATTTATTGTTCTGCTAACGTAGATTTCTCAAGCGCTTGCCAATTGCAAAGTTTTGGCTGCGGTTGCCTAAAGACACGAATTAATTTGAAAACTTCACAGCAAAAGTTCTCAGCTTATATATTTTTGCTGTTGCTGTTGTTGTTGTTATTGCTGTTGTTGTTGCTGTTTCTGTTGGCTTTATTTTTGGGGTTTCACACATAATTTTTAAGTAATCAATCGAGAGTCGTTTGTTGTGGCGAGAGCCCGTCTATCGTACCGCCCATCTACGTCCGCCCACCCCAATCGATTAAGTTAATTGTTTCGGTTTCTGTGTGACACAATTTATATATAAATATTTATGAATTGTCTTTTATGTGACTTGCTCATAAATTCCATTTGTAAACATAAATCAGTCAGGAGGCTACCAGTATTATATAGATAATACTTATACATGTATATACACATATATATATATATATATATATATATATATATATATATGTATACATATATCTCGAGCATAAACTTTGCTTGCCAATTGCTGAGAGAAAGTATTTTTGTTACCAGAAATGAACTTTTCTGCATAGTTTTTGTCGACTTTTTAGTGTTGCGAATATGCAACTGAAATCGAAATAAAGTTGTTGTTTAACACTTACACACACACACACACACTTTTGCCATTTGCGTGTTTTTTAAGCGTAAAAGCAATTAAAAAACTTGTACAATATTTTCTCATATAACAAAAGTTAAGCGCACAAAAAAAATCGGACTTGTTTTTTGCACGTTAACCAACACTTGGCCGTATGCCTGGCCGGGCAACAGGAGCTGTGCGTGTATGTGTGAATGTGTGTGTGTGTGGGAATCCTCATAGAGCTGTGTAGGGGGCCCCAAAGCGTCAAAGCAGCAAAAAGCTACCAACGCTCATGTTGTTCAGAGTGAGGCGTGGTAGGATATGAGAGAGAGAGAGAGATGGAGAAGAGGGAGCTTCGCTCATTTCATATTGATTAACAGCAAATCCATCAGTGTCATTGTGGCTAGGCTTTTGGGAGCAGGGCGAGCAGCAGCGCGGCTCATCAGAACTAGCTCATTTACACATTACAATGGAAGCACAAAAACAAGAGCGAAGAGCTGGGGCTATATAGAGTCTCACTCACTCTGTGAGTGTCTGTGTGTGTGTGTGTGTGGGAAACAAAGGCATTAGCAGCACACAGTGGAGGGCAGCGCGTTGGAGACTAGACCGAACTGGGGCTGGCGCAGGTGCGAACGTGCGAAAACGTAGCGAGTGCAGAACCCCTTTTGCATAAACTTGACTTAATTAGCTGTGCAACAAACTTGGCTATTTAAACAGGTGCTGAAGTGTATAAATAGAGGCGGCGCTGTTGCAAATGTGTCGAGGAGCAGAGGGAAACTTCGATGTGGTAGCCCATAGCGTTACTCAATTGCTAATGGATAAAGCGAGGAAGAGAGAGAGAGAGGGAAAAATAGAAAAAATTGCGACAATTAAACGTAAAAGGTTAGCCAATACCAAACAGTGTTGGAAAACGGCTAAAGTTTATTTTAAATAATGTTCATTTAAATAGTATGCAAAGAGCAGCTGAACTAGTTAGCATAGAGTGTTGCAAAATACCTTATAAATAATTTTTGCAGTGTTGCATAGTTGCTTATTTATGTTAGTAAGAATTCAGTGTTAGGCAACGACTGCTAGTCTATGGCAACTTCTCCAGTATCCACTGCTCGACATCCAGCATTGAGCTCTCCATGAGCTCATGGGCTGTATTATCCAAGGTGGTAAAGGTTCCACTGACGCCTAACTTTCGCAGTTTGTCGAAGGTATCTTGACCCCATTCGTACTCAACGACATCGTCATCTGTGCCATGATACATGCGCAATTCTGGATGCTTTGATGCACCTGCCAGCGACTCGTAGACAACGGATTCGCGATTCAGGAACGCAGAGTGCGCGAATACGCCCGCCAAGTCTGTGTTCAGGCGGTAGCCTGTGTGTAGAGCCAGAGCACCACCCATGGAGAAGCCACCGACAATGATGCGACTCGTGGGCACCCCTCGGTCCACTTCGTTCTGTACGAGTGCATTGGCTATGTCGTCACTCTCCGACATGCTCTCCACTTCTTCGGGCGCATCGATATGAATGGTCGATCGATTGAACCACACCGTGGATATCTCGCCGTCAAATGGCGTATACTTCTGCTCGGGTGCTGTGGGAAATAGATATCGGATATGCGAACCAGCAAAGTCGCGTCCAATCAGACCGCGCACCCATTCGAGTGCATTGGGTCCCGTATCGCCCGAGCCATGAAAGAATATAACACTCGCCGTCTTGCGTAGCGTTGAAGACATACTGAATTACCTGAATTGAAACTATAGATATATATGTTATACAATATGACATTAGGGGAAAAGTTGTAGTCATATTTGTCTATGTTTTGCCTAAAAATTTACGATTACGTCTATATATAAATTTGAAACTATATGCATCGGGTGGTCCCCGAGTTACGATGGTTATATATTATATAATCTAATTCTATATACATCTAAATTTATCAGTAATTAATTTCCAATTTTGAATGCAGTTCTAGAAGGTCTATATATCAAATGAAACCTCAATTATTCAATTAATTCCCAAACTTTGATCGTAAAACACTATTATACGATTTTCTGAAACTTTTAGTTTCGTATTTAAAATGAATTTTGGTAGCTCAATTGGGGCTGCAGTTCGGAACTGCCTTACCAGATCATTTGTCACAGCATTTTATTGAACTGTTTTATTATTTTTTTTTTTTTGGGCTCACAGATTGTACGAGCGTTAGCCTCTATCGTCTATCCTAATGGTTCAATAAACAATGTTTATGGCGTGACATCTTTCACGCAAATGTTTTTTGAGGGGGGAACATGACGACGCCTACCATTGGGCGCCCTCACATAGATTAGGAGGTGCCATTAGAGAGAGGCATTCACCTTTTTTCTATTTTCCTCGGTATTTTGGCTTGACCACTTGAGAAGCTATTAATATTATCTATATGGCCGGTCAACAATGTCGCGCTTTTTGAAAAGTGCTTCAATAAATTAAAACAAAATAGAAAAAAAAAAAACAATCCCAACAAAAAAATGCTGTCAACCTATATAAGAACCAAAAGCAAAAATACACCCAAACGATTTCCTAGTCAATGAAGCGAGGTGTGTGTGCGAAGGGAATTCAAACTGGAGCAAATGCACAACAAGAACAACAACAACAACACGTTTGTTTTAGTTGCTGTTGTTGTCTTTTTGGCAATCGTTCCTCTGACCAAAAACTAAAAACTGGCGTCGACAACGACGCACAATAAATTTCCCAGCTCCTGTTCTTCAGCGTCCGTCTCCTGCTCTTGCTCGTTGTTGTTTGCTGTGCGTCAAGTGACCCGAATATTCCACTTTTTTTTCGTTCTTTCTTTTTGGGGCCGCGACTTGACAAGGGTTAAATAACATAAAAAAAAAAAAAAATAAATCCGAAAAAAAAGAAATGAGAAAAAAACATGACCAGCAACAACAACAACAAAATTGTGAAATGTAACAAAAATAAAAGTTGCATTTCAGTTCACCCCACCCCACAATGAGCCCTCTCGTTGCTGACCAACTGAGCAGCTTGTATATAGCATGATCCAGCTCCCCATTCCTCACATGACACTGGCTCTGAACTAGTTCAAGTTTAAAAGGCGCACGGTAAAAAATGCAGAACTAAACTAAAACTCAACTTGAATTGAGTTGAGCGATTTATGTTAGTTGGCAAACTGAATGGAAGCGCGAAAACGTGCGAGGTGCGTGGATTATTATACAGAGAGAAGCAGAGTAAAAAGTATATAAATATGGGGCTTATAGTTTTTGACTATTGCGGAGCCAGTAGCTGAGATATATAGTAGAGTTCAGCAAAATAATAATAATAATCTGGTAATAATATGATGAATATAGCAAGTTAACTTAAATACTTGTTCAATTATTAATTACCTATGTAATTGAATGTAAATGTAAAAGAGTCTCAAGAGATCTCATAGAAAATGATTATAATATTCACTTATTAACTTTTGAATTACCCAAGTAATTGATTGTAATTAAGTAATGGAGAGTAGTTGGCAAGTAATTAAATTTCATAAAAATTAAATTATTGATATATGATTATATTCGATAGATAAGGTAATTAAATAACTTATTTGTATAAAATTAAATTTCGTTTTCAACTACATCAGTAATTGAGAGTAATTCAAGTCTAAACATCAGTTCAAGCATTCAATTTCTTAAGTATTTTGCTCAGAGTACTTACAAATATCCCTGATACTTTTACCTTTAAGTGTTATTACTATTCAAGACTTTGTTTCACACTCGGCTGTGAATTATAAACTAAAGCTGATGCATGTGGCTGGTTCAGTGAGCTTCAAGCTTGCGCTGCTTCATGCTGTGGCGAACAGCAGTCGAGCAGGCATTCGAAATGCCTTTTGCCGTGCTCTAAGCTCTTGAGGTGGGCGTGGTGTGGTGTGTGCAGGAGGCCCAACGCAGTCAGCCTGATGGTCGACTTAAGCCGTTAGCATTGTCCATTTGTTCGTGCTGACTGCCCGGGGGCAGATTTACGCATGAAATGCGCTCGGCTGCTGCTGCTGCTGCTTCTTCCTCTTCTAGTTGTTGCTGTTGCAAACATCCATCCAGTCCATCAGAGGAGTAGCAACAACAGAATGGGGATTTCGACTTGCTAAAACTGCAGCTGGGGAATTAGTTTGGGACGAGGCGGCAGGCCAGGCAGGCGAGTGGGCCATTTCTTGGCAGCGGCTGCCTGCAATCTGAGCACAAGTTGATTATTTTTCTTAAAGCATATTTCCGCAACAACTGTGCCACGCCCCCGACAGCCTCCCACCTAGTTGGCGTGCTGCTGCACGCCGTGTCATTTCTCTTGCAGTTGCTTTGCGTTTGTAAGTCTCAGCGCTAAGTTGGCGCTAAATTAAAAACTTTTGCTTTGCATATATTGCGCGAGGGAGCGGAAGCGTGTGAGAGTGAGAGTGAGAGAGGCGAAGGGAGTTCTAGTCCCAGCTGAGCGTTGTAATGCAACAGCGAAAGATTGGGCGGATGGGGCGTGGCATACTGTTGCATTTTTTACATGAGGGAAAAAAAAAGCAGGAGCAGCGAATGAGCGGAGAAAAGTTTTTTTTTTTGCTTGTTTTGGCTCGAAAGTTTTTTAACTTGGCTTTTGCTGCTTGTAAAACCAATTCCAAGGAAAATGAAAGTAATTTTCCTCCTTCCCCATCTAACATTAAAATATTGTACAATATAATAAAAGTCAAGAGAGTGTGAGAAAGAGGGAGACAGAGAGAGCGAGAGAGTGGAGCCTGGGGGCTCTAGTTGAGCAGTTTTACAGTACTTCGCTGACAGCTGCACAATGTTTGCCATTTGAAAACAGCTATGCAATAATATTACTAGAAAATTATCATAAAAGTAGTGGATGGAGTGAGAGTTGGGGCTAGCTTACCCAGTGCACTGCAGTGGCTAGTTTGATGACGCAACGTTGCGTATACGCAATGTGAGTCAATCGAAATTTTCGTTTTCATTAAGTCTGGCTAAAAGCAGTCTGTACCTTCTTTATTTCCTCTGAGCTCTAAAGCCATGAACTAAGCCGAATTTAACTAGTTCAATTGAACTGAGTGCAATGTGAATTCGCTTTGATTTGCCTTTAGAAATACAAAACTCTTCAGTTATTTAAATGAAAGGTTTAGCGGCTTGTTGCTTTTAATGCTGCTCTGAAATTGAACTAGTTCGTGAGCTAAACTTTTGTTCAACTTCTGTGGTGGACTAAACTGAACTAGTTTTTCAGCTGAATGAAAAGTAATCATTAGCTATGCTATTTGCTGTATGCGCTCTTTGTTATATTTCTTGTTGCTCCGCAAATAGAAACAAATGAACTAGTTCCCTGAACAAATTCGAACTAATTCGTGGAATAAACTATTTTCGACTCCATTTTTGATGCAACATTCATTGATAAATTCCGCAAAAATTTGATTAGTTTCTATTTGGAACTAGTTCTTGAGCTGAACTAATTTTACGTCATTTCCCTGTGTAAAGTTGCTTTAAAAATCTCTTTAGGCATTAATTCCAAGTGACTTCAACCTGGCAAGTCTGGCGCGCTATGAGCCCAGCCAAACTGCACCACACTGTGCCACGCCCACTCGGCCAAACTCAGCAGCCGCTGCGGCGACTCACTTGAAAAGTTTTTCAACTGGCAACTGGCGAATTGTTATGCAATTTGCAAATCGAAAGGCTGCAAACGAATGCAACTGCAACTGCAATTTTCCCTTTCGCTTCGCTTCCTGCCTCGCGTCCAAATGCTGCGTTCTTTGTCAGCCGCATTTTGAGACTTTGTAATTGTTTAGCCAGAATCGCGAGCTGGAGCACCGTGTTAAGCTGCACCGCGTTGCATGAGTAACAAGCGTGTAATTCCAAACCAGCTGCAGTTGAGTGGCAGTCAAAACGTTGTGCAGATAGTGAGAAAGAGAGAGAGAGAGGGAGAGCGAGACAGTTGGATAAACAGAGAGGGAGATAGAGGTCCAACTCATGACACATGAGAGCTAGTCCACATGTCGAGCTTTTTGCCATGTCCAGTGTCAGAGTCAGAGCTTAGGTGAGCGAATGAATGAATGCTGTGAAAAATGTTAACAAAACTTCATGGGGGCGCATATAGAAATTAAAAAAGAGCTGGCAAAACCGCAAAACAAATGAATGAAATGTTCAGCGACACGACTCAAAGTGAACAACGGCGGACACTCAGTTTATAAAAGCTGTTGCAAAGCATATTTCATTGGCGGGGGGAAAAAAGAGAAGAGCGGGCGAAAGGGACAGTGAGAGCTGTAAGACAAGCAGATGGACAGTTGCTGAGAGTTTGAGTTGCTTTTCTCATCTTGCCCCTTTTTTTTTTATACTTTTTGTTGGTATTTCTTGCTTTTGCTGACATATTTTTAGTGTCATTTCTTGCCAAGATGCCGCCGCAGCAGCAGGAGCAGCTGAACAACAATTGCTGCAGCCATACTGTAAACTAAGCTGCTAAGTCCTCGCCACGACCCAAATCAAGAGCAGCATATCGCAATGAGCTAACTTGTTGTTTTTGTTGCTGCTCCTTTTTGTGGCCGACTTCTTTGCTGCTTCTTTTTCTCCAATCTCGATGCTCGACTTTATTTTAGCTATACGTTTATTTCCATGAATTATATTTACGCCGCCGCTGCCGGAGAGCAGCAGCTGCTGCTGCTTCGTCTGCTTCGTCTGCTGCTGCTTGTAATGCTCTTTTCAGCAACTGTGACTCCCGGTTCGGTTCCTACAGTATTTGTTTGTGGGCGAACGCTTGTTTTTTACAAAATACCCTGTACTTGAGCCATGAAAGTGTAGATATAATGGGATACAATTATATATAGGAAATTAAAACTGAATTTTTAAAATTTATACAGTAATGCTTGGCTTAGTTTACGATCTTAAGTTGTAGACATAAAGTTATTATTATAGATCTCACTGAAATTCTAAAATGAGAAAACACGAATTTATTGATATTAAAAAATTTAACAAATAATAAACCTACAAAAATAACATTTAAACAAATTTATGCAAATAAAAATTTTGTTGAGAAACGTATAAACTTTTTAAATTTAAAATATGTATACTAAAAAAATATATTTAAAAACCATATTAAAAAAAAAATATATAAAAAAATATTTTTAAAAAATTATTTTAAAAAATATTTAAAAAAAATATATAAAAAAAAAAATATTTTAAACAAATATTGAAAATATATATTAATTATAAAATCGTAACAAATGTATTATAACCGAAAATAACATATAGGCTTAATAATGTTTTACAAGACACATTAGAAATCAATAAAAATAAAATAAAAATTCTAAAATTGAAATATGATTGGTATAAAAATTAAATGATAAAGATCTAAATTTATTATTTGTGGAGTAGCTCAACACTCAAAAGACGAGTTTCTTATTATAACTAAACTTTTAAATATATAGCAAGTTCTAAGTGCACTTGTAAGTCAACATATCAAGCTATAACTACTAAAAGATATCGCGACTAAATATGTATACACACACGCACGCTCACACACACTTGAGCGCAGTACTGAGTATCTCTTGGGGTAACACTTCAACAAAAGTTAAGCAGCTCAAGCATTGCTTGCTTCTTTTTATTGCATACTTTGCGGCATTTCGTT